TTTTTTTTTTTTTATACTGATGAACTCAGTAGATTGGGTCAGCATCAATTTAGCTATTTTTGTCACCTTTTTAGGGCAACAGGAAGAAAAAGTTTGCAAAGGGTGAGGAAGCAAGCAAGAAAAGTGAAAGAAAGGCATGGGCAAAGCCTTTTCAACAAATTAACAGTGTGTATTCATCTCAAATTACACATCAGCAAATCCCTGTGGCATCCCCTTTGTATGGTAGCAACATGATGAATCAATACTTACCCACACAATTCCATCCTTTGGATAGAAAAGATCACGAACGAGCCGATGTGCTGCCAGCTATGACGCCCAAAGAAAAAATCGAGAAGCTGAGGAGACGGCAGCAGATGAGGGCAATAATGGCAATTCAAAAGCAGCAGCTGCACTTCAAAAAGCAAGCTTCTCAGCATTCAAAAGTAGCAGCTGCAGTTGAGAACTATCATTCGGTTGTTGAAAATTACTCGGTAGAGGAATCAGTGCTATACCGGGTTCAAGATCACATATCTAAAGTCAGTATTGTTCTATTTATATTTAAAGAAAAAAAAAAGGAGTGAATTTCCAATTGATAACAACTTATTTGGAGTGAATTGAAATGAAAAACTTTAACAATAAATCTTATGGCTCCAGGGTTTGGTGTAATTAAGTTAGAAAAATTAACAAAACTGTGCATTTTACAGATGGACATGCGAATAAGACTTTGCATACGGGACAGTTTGTATCGGCTGGCCCAAAGTGCTATGTGGAGACAATATCCAAATGAGATGAGCAGTGGCAGTGGCAGCACATGCAGCAGAGATGAACTTGGGAGCAACAAAGATTCAAATGGCCATGAGAGGTTCGTAACTTAGCTGCAGCACTAATTACAAAATGTACCCGATTTTTTCCTTGTGCTTGGATTTCTTATGAAACCCAGTCCAGAAAATGGATGTCGCTAGGGTTATTTATGGTGTTGGTACTGACAAAAGTTTGTTAGATAGCTAAAGAATAAAAGGACGCATGGAGGATTTAGTGTTTTTTCAATGTAGCACTGGTACTCGAGCTGAGCCAAGATCGGCTCATTCACTAAATGAGATCGAACGCAGTTCGTTTATCAAAATTAACAAGCCGGACTCAAGCCTTAACGAGTCGAGCTAAGCTAAAAGTTCAGAAAAATATGTAAAAACACCGATTTCTCAAACATCAAACCTAACGAGCCAAGCCGAGCTTGGATTATTAATTTAATGAGCTTTAGCTCGACTTATTTATCAAACAAGACGAGCCAAATCCGAGCCGAAAAGCTCACGAGCGGCTTGTTTCTTTTAACAACTTTAAGCCTATGTTTGGTAGACAATTAAGCTAGCTTATAGCTTATTTGGTTAACTTATATGCTTCTTGTATATCAATAAGCTTCATTTGGTAGGACGAGCATATTTAAAAAGCTCGAGCTTATCTCATAAGCTTCTTTGGTTAGCTTTTCAAATATGGTCGTTGAAATTTTTATTTCAGTTAGTTTTTCAGCTATAAGTCATAAGCTATAAGCTCAAAATTACTGATTAGCTATAAGCTAGCTTATCAACTTTCGGCTAGCTTAAAGCAGATGCTGAAAATTGAAATATCAGAACAAATCATTTTCTGATATTAATTGTTTCAGTGTGGTCTCTCTCTCTTTTTTTCTTTTTCCTACAGCATTTTGTGTCAACTATCCCCCTTTTGTATGGTTGTGAAAGTTTGTTTTCCTACTCATTATTTTCTGGGGCAGGTTTACTAGAATGCCGGATGTAGAGACAGATACAAATCCGATTGACCGTGCGGTGGCCCATTTGCTCTTTCACCAGCCTATCGAATTCTCTGGCAAACCTGCTGAGACACCCGAATCGCCTCTATCAGGCAACCACATAAAGAAAGCTAGTCCAATCAAAAGCTTGGGAAAGGGATATTTTCCCGAGAGTGCTGAAAACAATACTCACATCACGTCCCCGCTTGAACCAAAACCTCCTACTGCCATATTTCCACAAGGAGATGAGTCTCAAAATAATCTTTGTTTTGTTACATCCAAAAATGCTATGAACAATGAAAGTACAGATGTAGTCCAGATGAATGACGAAAAATCTTCCAAATGAAGAGGGAAAAAAAGAAAAGAAAAAAGGTTGGCCCTCCAAATGTTTATCAGGGTAATTCCTTCGTTTTATCCGACTATCCTGTTGGTATGGATCATCCTCGTAATGAGGATTCTCTTTTTCATTGCTAGCTAACTGGATTAGTTACAAGCCTGGCTGCATAATTACCATGTTATGGTGAGTGAACACTGGTAAAAAAATTTATGGTTTTGAAATTTACCAAGAACTGCACTCGATGAACCTATCATGAAGACTTGTAACCTATTTATTCGTGTTTTGACTTTGAAATGGTGAAGCTACTTGAACTTGTGACTTCATGACTACTGTGAAAAGGTGCATCAGTGTATGGATCTGTGGGTGATGCGAATTCTTTAATATATGACCTCGTCTGTCTCTTTGATTGTGTGAAATATGCAGTTCACAAATCATCTATATCGATTTTACGTATTTTCGTGGATGTCAGAATTTCTGCTAGTTATGAGAGAACTAAACTATCTGCAAGATGGAGAACAGTAATAATCTGTATTTTGTTAGTCTTTGAAGGTTAAAAAAAAAAATGTTAGCATTTTTAACCCAAGTTTAATCATGTAAACCGTATGCAATAATGAATAAGCAGGCCTGCCTTATTGGTTTCATTTGATTATGATTGGTAACAAGCGTTTTGAGCTGAAATTAGATTATAAGTGTCAATTAGAGGGGTTTTTTTTTTTTTNNAAACAAGCATAGTGACGATTAGCGGCAGGCCTAGACGCCTGAGACCCCAATCGACAATCCCCCATCACAATATAGAGGTTGAATTTTCAATAAGAGCAGTTTTTCAAATTCAAAGTTTTAATTCTAATTTTTCAGTTTTCTTCATTATATACTTCATGTTCATGTAGGATTTCATTATGAGAATTGTACAAGTGGTACCCGTGTTGAACCCTCTCGTGTAAGTGGACTAAAAACTAATGTCTCGACTCTTTTAGGGTTTTGACTACATACAGGTTAGAGATTCTACCCCTTAACCTTGGCGTGATTTCCCATAAGAAGTTGCAGTCGGGGGAACACTTCAATTTGTTGCTCGATAAATTAATCCTCGTTCCCCACAACTATATGAACCACTATAGATACAATTCATCACATCGCTAAAGAAAAAATAAAATTGAAATCTATAACTCATGCATTTCATAGCTCTTGCAACTAGTAACGAGACGACCAACCATATTATCTATCATTCTTCATTACCATATTCTATCTATGAAAATAAAGTCAAGTGAATATGAAAATTATACTCCCCAATGAAAAGACCTTGAACAGAATAGAATGTTAAAAGTCAAAAGGGTTTTTCTTGGCGTAATAAACAGCCATCACGAGTATCAGCAGTCATAACAGACTGATCTTCATCTCATCTTGAACAAGCCACATTTAAGAGTTTAAAAGCAGATTTAAGTAAAAATCTGATATCCATATGTAAGAGAGTTCAGTTTCGATGAGTAAAGATGCCCCATATGCTCACTCTTATGTGGTGCAATAGAAACTTGAACATCATCTACTGCTCGAGTAGTGGCCGATCAAAAGGAGAGGGAATAAAATCAGCCCAACATTTTCAATTTTCTATTTCTATGTACTCTTCCTCTACACATCAGTTGCTTCCCGCAAGCTTCTAACGAGCTAGTCCCTTCCCACTCATTGCCCCACTTTGAGAACTTCATCATCTACCTAATTCCACTGCCAGATATTCCCCG